GATAGTAGATAGATGATAGATGTAAGATAGTGATCATAGTACATAAAAGAGTTATAAGAATAATATTATATTTAATTTATTGGAAAAGGCATTGGAATTCCCTTATTTATTTTTATAAAATTATAAGCCTAAACATTTATCAAAAACTTTGTAAAAGCGTTTTAATTTTATTTTTTAGATAAAGAACTTTTACTGTTTCATGGGGAATGCCGACGTTCTATTACCGCACTAGGGGCCAGATGAAGGGCTATAAAATAAAAACCTGACTTATTTATGTGGTCTTTTAAGAGACCACTTCTGGTATACCGATATTGGGGACGTTGAACAGATGATTATAAATACAAACCTGGTTCAGATTCCCAAGGTCAGGAAGCGGTGCGGGTGGATGGCTAATTCTTATTTATTCTGCTATGCCCTTTGGGAAGGTGTACCTTAGCTACTTTAATTATAAATATAAATACTACTAACTTAGAATGCAGGGATAAAGTTATTCTATAGACTCCTACAATGGGATGAGGAAATATTCTTACTCATATGTTCCTCTACATCTCATGTGTGGAAAGCCTGATTAACAGAGTCCTGAACTGTGGGGGCGAGCCGAAAACGTGATCTATTTAATTGATCTTAGATTCACCTGGTTGATTATTTTTCATTCTCACATACGGTTAATAAAAGAATGAACAATCTTAAAAGGCTCATTTTTACGAATAACACTAAAAACAGCGGACCGTCACGGGATCTGCATAACTTCTGGCAGGGCTTTCAAATAACAAAATGGCCTGTTTTCGTGAACTTCGACTTTAATCCAGGATTAAAATCCGATTTGAGGAGGTTGATAACGATACGACGGTTGGTCTCGGGGGGGCACGGCCAATTGTTCCTGCATGTTTACCTTAAGGATGGCAGCGCCCCCCCTGTTGGGTGGACCAGCCGTCAAAGACAAAGTGAAGTCACAAGGAAAAAAATAACACACCGTGGCAGCACAAGCAATAGCAATAACCACAAACAACGTGTTGATGACAGTTTTTGCCGATGTTATCTCGCCAAGGATTATAAGGGGTGTGTAGAAATATAAGAAATAATAAATCAGACAGCGCACCGTAAGTGTGGCGGGTAAGACCACATGAGAGATCCATAGTATATAAATAACACACATATGCATGTGCACTACTCTCTGTTCGGCCACAAACCAATAACCCCGACATATCTAAACAATATGACTGATGTCGGGTAATTCTCAATGAAGTTATTGTAAAGGAAGATGAGGAGCGGTTTGTGTAAAGTTATCAAAGGTGTCAAAAACGACACACACACAAAGTGCCAGTAGGAGAGAGGAGATGAAAGAAGGGAGACAAACAAACCTAGCGATTCTAAATGTTCATAAACAGAGTTTTATAATTCCGAGCTATGGTCGAGCAATAAAAGATACCAAGAGAGCGAGAAAAAACAGAGCGGAAGTGCCTGAGGTTCACGGCAGTCTTTAACCAGATTAGCGTGCGGAAAGTTCTCATAAGTGTGGGATATAAAGACGTTGCTTATGACCACAGCCACAACCAGAGCCGCCAACACAAACACTTCAAAACAACGAAACAAACAAAAAAAAAAACCAAGCACTGCCCTTCTAAGCTGGCACGTGAAGATCTCTACGCCTTGATCCGTATCTAATCTC